TGGAGAGAGATAAATTAATGGTCTGCCAAAAATCACGAAGGCCATTTTCTTATTACACCAGTACAGGGACAAACAGGAGAGCCAAATCAGGAAATGAACTCCATTTCACAATTTGCTTCAAAGAGGAGATAAAATTACCTAGGAATCCAACTTGGACAAGGCGGATGTAAAGGACCTCTTCAAGGAGAACTACAAACCAGCTGGCTCAGGTGAAATAAAAGGAGGACACAAACAAATGGAAGACATACCAATGCTTCATGGATAGGAAGGAATTCAATATTGTGAAAATGCGCCCATGACTTGCCCAAGGTAATTTATAGATTCAATGCCATCCCATCAAGCTACCAATGAGTTTCTTTCACAGATTGGAAAAAACTGCTTTAAAGTTCCATATGGAACCAAAAAGAGCCCGCATCTCCAAGACAATCCTAAGTCAAAAGAACAAAGCTGGAGGCTCACGCTACCTGGACTTCAAACTACTACAACGCTACAGTAACCAAAACAGCATGGTACTGGTACCAAAAAGCAGAGATATTAGACCAATGGAACAGAACAGAGTCCTCAGAAATAACCACACATCTACAGCCATTTGATTCTTGACAAACCTGAGAGAAAACAAGAAATGGGAAAGGATTCCCTATTTAATAAATGGTGCTGGGAAAATTGGCTAGCCATAAGTAGAAAGCTGAAACTGTGATCCTTTCCTTACTCCTTATACGATAAATTAATTCAAGATGGATTAGAGACTTAAATTGTTAGACCTAATACCATAAAAATCCTGAAGGGAAAACCTAGGTAGTACCATTCAGGAACATAGGCATGGGCAAAGACTTCATGTCTAAAACACCAAAAGCAACAGCAGCAAAAGCCAAAATGACAATGGGATTCATTAAACTAAAAGAGCTTTTGCACATCAAAAGAAACTACCATCAGAGTGAACAGCAACCTACAGAATGGGAGAAAATTTTTGCATTCTACTCATCTGACAAAGGGCTAATATCCAGAACTACAAAGACTCAAACAAATTTACAAGAAAAAAACAAACAACCCCATCAAAAAGTGGGCAAAGGATATGACAACATTTCTCAAAAGAAGACATTCATACAGCCAACAGACACATGAAAAATGTTCATCATCACTGGCCATCAGAGAAATGCAATCAAAACCACAATGAGATACCATCTCACACCAGTTAGAATGGCGATCATGAAAAAGTCAGGAAACAACAGGTGCTGGAGAGGATGTGGAGAAATAGGAACACTTTTACACTGTTGGGGGGTTGTAAACTAGTTCAACCATTATGGAAAACAGTATGGCGATTCCTCAAGGATCTAGAAGTAGATGTACCATATGACCCAGCCATCCCATTACTGTGATATACCCAAAGGATTATAAATTATGCTGCTATAAAGACACATGCACACGTATGTTTATTCGGCACTATTCACAATAGCAAAGACTTGGAATCAACCCAAATGTCCATCAGTGACAGATTGGATTAAGAAAATGTGGCCACATATACACCATGGAATACTATGCAGCCATAAAAAAGGATGAGTTTGTTCCTTTGTAGGGACATGGATGCAGCCTGGAAACCATCATTCTTAGCAAACTATCACAAGAACAGAAACCAAAAACACCGCATGTTCTCACTCATAGGTGGGGAACTGAACAATGAGATCACTTGGACTCAGGAAGGGGAACATCACACCCGGGGCCTATCATCGGGAGGGGGAGGGGAGGGACTGCATTGGGAGTTATACCTGATGTAAATGACGAGTTGATGGGTGCAGCACAGCAACATGGCACAAGTATACATATGTAACAAACCTGCACGTTATGCACATGTACCCTACAACTTAAAGTATAATAATAATAAATAAATTAAAAAAAAAAAAAAAAGTTTCAGGCCGGGCGCGTTGGCTCATGCCTGTAATCCCAGCACTTTGGGAGGCCGAGGTGGCGGATCACAGTCAAGAGATCGAGACCACCCTGGCTAACACGGTGAAACCCCATCTCTACTAAAAATACAAAAATTAGCCGGCGTGGTGGGCGCGCCCTGTAGTCCCAGCTACTCGGGAGGCTAAGGCAGGAGAATGGCGTGAACCCGGGAGGCGGAGGTTGCAGTGAGCCGAGATCGCGCCACTGCCACTCTAGCCTGGGCAACAGAGTGAGACTCTGCCTCAAAAAAAAAAAAAGTTTCAATAATGTGCATTTATTACAGTTTAAAGCCACAGGCAGTCTAATAGTATGAAATAAATCAGAGACAAAAGGAGTAATTACCAAGAGAATTTGAAACACCTCAATACCTTAGCAATAAAAATTACACATTTTCTCCAAATGAAGAGCAAAACCTTAATGGTTACTTTTAACACAGTGTTGACCACTAATGAAATTAATGATAGTACAATTTTTATCCAGAATCAAAAGTTTTTTAGGTCAATTCTTATCATGTGATTCAATCTATAGTCATAGAAAGTAAAACAGAAATACAATGATAATGTCTAATGTTTAGTTAATTTCCAAAACAATACATCTCCATAGAAATGAATTTTAAAATATATGCAATTGTTGAACCATATTTAAAATACAGGTCATAATTATAGTTTCAGAATAAAGCTGAACACTAAGTAAAATTTGGGTGGGGGTGGGGACATTTAAGTCAAAAATATCTATTGAGATCACATAAATGTATAGTTAAGACGATGGTAACTTTGCTTTCCTTTAATTATACATTATACAACCTCACTAGAGTGTTAAAGCAAAGCCTAGACAATGATACCCCTCAGAGAAAAGCATACTTCAGTAACAAAACCAGTTACATAAAGTGTATAACAGCTCAATCTAGCAATGAACCCTGCTCCACATTAAACAGTATTATGCACAGTTTGTGGTGCATAAAAACTGCATCAGTTCTCCACTTCATTGAGCTTATTTATACTTAGCCATATTTAGGATCTGACATGAATTCTGCAACAGATCCTAAGTTGTACTGACATTTAGCACTAAAAAACACTTCCTGCTACAAGCAACTAAAACCACAGTGTATAAAGCATTAAGACCAGGTCACTACATATAATCAGAACAAGTTTCGTAAAATCTCCTTTGAAATAACTAGTATTTATTTTCTCAATACAATGCCATGAATTAGTAGGTACTAAAATGAAAAAAAATATTAATTCGTCCAAAAGAGCATTAAATGAGTCTGAAATCTTTTACTTTTGACCAAATTCACTGTCATGAATTGCTGTTTTACTATCATGCTTTACCATGACTTCATATGTAATTTGTTTGGAAAATGAGAATAGACAACACATGAAACAATCTTACCTGATTACAAGGCTGTAGTTTCTTATATTACTAAATTGTAGTACATTCCATGTGACTGTTGTTCATGATTATAAGAAAACATATTCTAACTAGAAGGCAAATCACTATCTACTTAGGTACTCACTTCAAGTAAGAGGAAAAATGAGTGTTTGTATAAACTATATAAACAACAAGCAGAGGACACGTTCACACAAAATATAGAAAACAGCAAGAAAAGCCGTGAGTTTCATGAAAGAAAATGAGTTCTGTATTGTAGCAAATACATCAGCTTTCCAACATTCTATTAATAAAACCAAAAATTGCTTTAAAAATGTTCTCCTTACCTGTGTATACAGTTTTTACTCTCGAGATACAACATACCAGCAGCAGCGTCTAATGAAAATTTCACTAACTGTTTGAGTTTTAGTTCATCCTTCTTCCTTCTCAGAAAGGTGAGGAAATCACCTCCTAGAGGAATTGACAGATGAACAATGAGACAAAGTTATGATGAAAGTAACATTTATCATCTATTTGGATCTATTAGGAATATTTGACAGAGCAAAATGCATTACACATTTGGCCATGCTTTTTGCCCAATTTGTTTGAGGTGAGGATAACAGAAAACATGAAAAGAAGATATCATATTAGAAAACAGACACCATAATCTCTTCTAGATACAGTTTAAGTACTTTAAGTGTTTCATACTGTACATTATCCAGGTCATAATAACACTCAAAAATCATACTTTTTCCTTTATCACTATTTTTACCAATTTGCTTCATTAATATCTATGGAATTTGATTTTCTCTAATGCCACATGAAAACTATATTATTATGAGTCAAATATGAGTATGTAAAAAGTAAATTATATTGGATTAGCTATTAGATTCAGCGATTGCTTAAAAAATTAGACTATTAACACCAACATAACTGATAGCAATGTCCAGAGAGAAAAAGAAAAATGCTATGATTTTGGCCTGATTTACTCACTGACCCAGATTGCATTTTTATGCATCAAATAAATTCCAGTGAAGTCTTAGAAAAACTTCTTAAACCTTTATGGTCCAAGACATACATAACATGAGCCATGTAGTAATTTGAAGTTTACTAGTAGCTACATTTTTTAAAAGTTTTAAATGTGCAAATTATTTTAATAATATAGTTTTCTTGAATCTAATATATCCAAAACATATATGAAAATTATAGTTGAGATATTTTACATTTTAAAATCACAATCTTTGAAATATGATATTTACATTTATGGTACATCTCAATTTAGATGTAAATTTCATCTGAAATATTTGATCTATATTTAGATTTCATTAAATTTACAGCTGAAAAGTAGATTCACATACCCAAGATGTTCCAAACATGCTTAAAATTATCCACTAACTGAATATCAGTATCTTAATTTAAATCAATTAAAATGAAATGAAATTTAAAATTCAGTTTTTTAGAAGCAGTAGCCACATTTTAAGCACTCAAGAGCCTCATATGGTCAGTGACTACCATACTGAATAATGCAACCATAAAACTTTGCATTCATTTTTAATATAACATTAAAAGCTTAGGCTTATTTTTCTTTTTAGTTACTTTATAGTTTGTTGCACTACTAAAAAAGAGTTAAAGTATATTAAAATACATGTTCTCCAAAAACAATCTTTCCCACTTTCTCTATTAGGCCCCCAGATATTAAACCAGAATTTTAAAAGAGGGATTAGCATTTTATTTGTCATTTCTAGACTATTTTGTTCTTTTACTTTCTTCATCAGGGATCTATGCTTTCTTAACTAGAAAAGCTATAGAGGTGAAGACTTAATGGCTTTTTCCTTAATGAGAATACCTAGAAAATAAACATCTGCCTAACTCTCCTTTAAATATTCTCTTCTTTTCTAACCTTTTCTCTTATTCACAGTTTAAGTATTATACAAATTTAGGTGAGCCATTAACAAAATCAAATAAGCTATGCTTTAAACATAAACTTAATGGTGTCAATTTTTTTCTGTTATTTTTAAATGAATACCAAATATATTAAATTACCAGGATGATGATTGAAATAGTTTCTATCAAGCTTTACTTAAAAATCAGAACAAAACCTGATTTCAATAGTGAAAAGTAAAATTCCACTAATTTATCAACTTTAATAGATACTAAAATGCTTATTAAAATAGACTTGAAATTAATATTTATTTCAAGCTATTACTTGAACCAATATTCACATATTAATTATTTTGTTAGATATATGTACCTGTTTTAGAAAACATGTACCTTCTGGTTTTGAAACTACATAGTATTCTGTCTGAGCTATAGAATAACTTTTAAATGAAATAATCTTTTCTGCAATTTAATTTAAAAGCAGCATATGACATACATAACTCCAGTGCTGTTCTGTAGAATCCTGATACTTTTTTTCCAGTTATCACTTTATCATCTGCCTCTTAAAAATTTACTTCTTGATATAATACTCTTTGTACTCCCAACCCACATTTGTTATTCAACAAATTATTTAACAAACTATTATTCAACAAATTACCAAATATTGTTTAATGTATAATATATGAATAAACAAAGACAAACACTACACTTAAATAGCGTTAAATAATGAATGAAAAGTGATGTCCAGCAAATAAAAGTACTAGGAAGGTAGAGCGATACACAACTCTTTCCAAATACTGTAACACAGTCAAAAATACAGAAGGGGTTTCTGATTGTTCTGTAGTTAATCCAACAATATTTCTGCCTTAGAACAATTTCCTGCTTAAAGTCATTAAATCTAGGAAAGGAAATTTTCAATTTATTTCCAATTTATAGTTATTTAAGCCACAGGCATAGTAACACTAAGGGAAGGAACACAGTTCCACCATTCCACAAGCCTAGTCAGCTTCTTGCAGAAAACTAGAGGGAAGCAAGGACTTCAATAAAAATTAAATAATTATGAATTATTATTGAAAGCCCAAGCCTTCTGCATTTACAAGTATTAAGATCCCTGAAGCAAGAAATAAACTCCCCAGGAGGCAGAATATGGGACTAAAGTTAGGATACCCAGAAAATAACTCAGACGGGGCCAGAGATATTCCCTTAACCACAATACTTGATTATTACCATTAAGTGATAAACTGAAGGCTGATATCAGATGATATAGTCTTCAGTGTTCACTGTGAAGTTATTTTAGAAGGCAGAGCCTGTCCTTTTCAACTTGTTCTTTTGTCATTTGCATTAAGTGCCAATATAAAAACCTCTCTTAGAATTTGTGATATATGCAATATTCATACATGCAGCACACACGTATATATGCATATGGATACATATAGCATACGGTATCCTACCTGACCACTGCAATAAGGATCTTGGTTCTCAAAGTGGGCAATAAAAGATAACTCACGCCCCTTTTGTAATTCTGCTTATCAAGACTTTAATGTGGGTGTGCTGCACATTAAACCAAAATGGGATACATTATTTCCTAGAATTCTGTAACAATGATAAATTTCTAAGACAATACTTGCAATGTTTTTAATAGTCAGCTTATGGTTTACTAGGGAGATAGCATGACTTGCTGAAAAGACATGGACACTTAAGTCGGACTGTCCTAGGTCTGATTAACCATGTGGCCTTGGATAATTGTTTAATCTTTCTAAACTTCTAGAAAACACAGATTTAATACCATTTATTTCTCAAGACAGCTTTGAAGACTAAAATGTATTTAAAGTATCAAGCATGTGCCTAGCACATAGTACACACAATAAACACTATTACTACTTATTATACTTTATATATTAATTATATATTTATATATTATATGTTTATATACTGTTATAAATACTATTTAGTATTTATACTATTACTATTATTGTTGCTGTTATTTTGTAAAAAAACAAATGAGAAAGGGTTGTAGTAGGGACTCAGTGTTTGCTGTATAACATCTATTTTCCCTGATTCATCCCAATTTCCCTCATGGGACTGCCCCTCTACCATTTTGGAGGGCATTAACCTAACCCTCAATAATAAGGGTGATGCTAGACTGGCTTAGCCCACTCGACGAAATCTCTTCCCTAACTCAAGTGATTGGTTCAGGAATAGGCACAAATCTTAAGAAGATTAAATAACACTGAGAGGCAAAGATGTTTGAAGAATGAAAAAATTTTTTGAGAGAAGTGCCAAGAAAGAAGTACAACTAGACATAAACATGACATCACATAATATCATGAAGACTGGCAGCCTTAGGATGAAAGCATCCTAAGATGCATTCACAGAAAGCAGAAAGGAGTGAAGAAAAGATACTAGCCATTGGTGACAAGCCTGAGCCACTGAATCACATACTGCCTGTAGTGTGACTTCCCTCTAAATTTGTCAATTAACTGAATAAACTCTATAGAGTTTTTTTTATACATCTTCTGTACTAGCAATTTGAAGATATCTAATGGATAAGATGACATCTGTATCAGAAGGTCACTTTGAGGATTAAAAAGATAATATATATTAAATGTCTGAAACAAGTAGGGAAAACAATACATAGAAGTGTTTATTACCGTTTGCAGCCAACCTTTAATGAGAGAATAGCTGGCTATTATTTTCAACAGCTGTTTCTCAAAGATTTCTGTTACTCTGTGCTATGAAAATTTGATCTTACCTGTTCTTTCAGTATTTATGGGGCTCAGAGGAACTGATCACACTAAACATAAACTCAGTGAGACTATGCAACAAGAATATTAATTTATAATTTGTAATCGGAGAAAAGGGATCATCAGGGCAATGCCACTAACAACTTCTTATCATTGAATCACAGGATCTTAATTTATCCTCAACGAACTTCAGAGTTTATTCAATTAAGATATATCAGTTCCCCAGTGATTTATAAAATGTATAATTAATTACGCTTGTTTTTAGGAAACCAATTTGTTTCCTGAGAAGTTCGTTTGGTTTAGCTACTTTAAATTATTCGTTAAAAAAATAGGCTAGTAATCAAGGCAAATACTAAATCATAGAGAACTATTTTTGGAGCTCCATTTATGTCATTATTCAGAATTCTTATTTTTAAAATGTTTTGGTTTTTAACCAAAAGTGATGAGAATTATGGCTGTTAGCCAGCCCATCAGAAATGAGGGGGGGGAATCGATATGACAAATATAAACAATGAATGCTGATGTAAACTGCACCCCATGAAACACAGAATAGATTTCATACACTAGGATATAAACCCAAACAAGTTCCTGAAAAGAAGAGGACCAATGCAAACACTAAAGCAGAGGATACTGGCTGCTACATATAGGGTATATTTATGAGAAATGGGCTGCACAGAAAGGAAGATCAGCTGGGAGAGGGCTCTAGTTGCTGAGTGGGGTGATGAGGGCTTCTACCAAGAAGAAACCATAGAAACAAACTAAAACATTAGGTCTGAAAAGACTCAGTAATAAGCTAGAATTGGTTCAGTTTGTGGGGAAAGATGAGGAAGATTAAATACTAAAAATCAG